GCCAGTCTCTGTCCCACGGCCCAAAATCACCTCCCTCCAAGGTGTCTCCTCCTGTTTCTCCAATTACAAGTCCCTCATCAGTCATCCAGTCAAAGGGTTTATCTGAACTCAAGGTTGGTCCTGAAGCAGAGGGTTGAAATGTAGTACCTTTCAAAAGTATTCACACCTTTACTGTTGCACCACAAATTTCAAGGCTTTTTAATTTTTTGAATTTTTCGATAATAAACAAACACAATATTATGTTGATTTAACTGTGAAGTAAAAGGAAAAAATAGACTTGGCATGTATGTATATATATATATATATTATAAAAATCTGAAAAGTGCATTGAACATTTATATTTATCCCCCTTTTATTCCAAAACTACTTGTCTTCATTAGTCATATAAATAGAGGAGTTGCCAAGAGTAGCTCAAGAATCTGGTGTGAACAAGCTGTTTGTTGATGTGCACTCCATAAAATTGATCTGAGTAGAAAAGTGACAAAGAAAATCTGTATTTGAAAGAAATCCATAAGACATTTAAAGGGTAGCCAGCAAAACATGTGGAAAAAGATGCTTTAGTAAAATTAAACTAAAATGTGACTTTTTTTTTAGTCTGTTATAGAAGCAAAATGCTTTGTGGTATAAAGCTAAGACTTCACATCCTCTTGAACACTCAGACTCCATAATGAAACATGGTGGTGGCCAGAATTAAGAATCAAGTTCTTCATCCAATCAGACTCAATTTAAGCTGCTCTGCAATGAAGACGTGGTGAAAAATGTCAATCTCTAGATGTACAAAGCTGGTAAAGACATTTAGCTGTGACTGCAGTAAAAAGTAGTCCTCCAAAATATTGGCTCTTTGGGGCTGAGTACAGATGCATTTTAATTATGGTTCAAATGTGACATTCAGGAGGGTCTGAATACTTTTACAAGTTGCTATAGAGCTTACTATAGGTCATGTTTCATTATGGAGTCTGGTGTCAAACTCCAGTCCTCAAGGGCCACTGTTGTGCAGTTTTTAGATGTGCCACAGGTACAAAATACCGAAATGAAATGGCTTAATTACCTCATTCTTGTGTAGATAAGATCTACAGAGCCTTGCTAGTGACCTAATTATTCTATTCAGTTGTGGTGCAGCAGAGATGCATCTAAAAGTTGCAAGACGCCGGCCCTGCAGGACTGGAGTTTGATACCTGTGCTGTAGGTGTTCATTGAATGGTTCTCTGCACTCATGATAAACTACTGATTCTGGTTTTCTGTTTAATAAATTGTGATCATTCTGTCCATTTGTTTTTCCATTTAAAATTTACTGGAGCATTTTTTTTCTCATATTTTCTGATTTCTACATATGTTGTTTTATTTGACCCACTGACTTTAAGCAGCCTTCCGTTTAACATGAACTCCCTCTTCTCTCCATCCAGCAGGATGAGGAGGATACTCAGATGGCAAAAGTGACCAGAATGTAGCTGTAATTCTGCAGCAATTGTTTTTTTCTTTTTTCACCGTAAGTAAAATCCAGAGCCAGACAATATTTTAGTGTCCATTTCCACAACAAATGCTCAATACTCTTCTTTTAGGAGGAGCTAATCTTGTTTTCATTTTTCTCTAGAAGTCTTCATCCTGTACTTTGAGCGAAGAAGTGGTTTTCTTTTGAAACCTGTTTCCATGGTCGTCGCCAGCCTTCATAAACCTTTGGATTTTAATGATGATTGTTGTTATATCATTCTTTTTATTTTAGACGATTTTTGGCTTCTTTTATGTGAGAACTTTTATGCATTTTATGCAAAGAGTTGTGAGCAATGATGGAAAATAATACTATAAATTATCAGTGATTCCCAGAGCAATAATATTATTGAATTTATTAAGGAAATGTCTGATCTAAATAATACGAGATGTGCAAGACAGATCGGCTCTGACTTTCAGTAAATTCTTCCATATTTAAGTTTTAGTTTCCATTACAGTGGATTCAGAAGAGCACTGCCGTGTACATTTGTACTTGTTCTTGTTTGGTGAGTGTTGCTATGATTAAAGCTTCTACCAAACCATTTGTCTGTATTGTTTCCCTGCACAAGTTACTGAAATTGGATCCTTCAGAATAAAAGCGGTCGTTCACAACAGGAAAAACTGGATCTTTGTGTGTGAGCCAAGAGCATGTTGAACTCAGTCTGTCAGTTCTCACTGCAACAGCAATAAGAAGCATGAGACTTGAACTGCAATCTCACTTAAAGATGCATACAGGTAAAGAATTTAAACTATTTTTGCTAAGGTTTATTAAAGTAAAGGGGGAGCTTATTCTTGGTGAAAAGCTTTGCTGGTGACATTAAAGAAATGTTGATTTAACTTTAGCTGTCAAGGTCAAATTTATTTATAGCTATAGCATATTTCCCACAGCACAATGTGTTTTACAAGGAAGGACAACCAAAACATGAACAGGCATAAAAGAATCAAAAACCAAATGTAAGACAGAGAAAGCTTCTCAAGATTGTTAAAATAAGACAGCTAGTATGGTTGAAAACAAACCATTTGGGTCAATATATGCTACAAACCAGTTTAAAGGGAATTGAAAGTGCTCCAAAGTTTGTGTTAAGGGGCAGGTTATTCCATAGACTGGAACCTTCATCTCTATCAGATGTAACTTAAGACTGGGGACTAGAAAGCAATATTGGTGCACTAGACCTCATGGTTTTAATTGAAGGATGAATAGAGTGTAGCTCAGACAAGCAGGATGGAGCAAGACCATGCATTTATTTAAAAACAGAAGGTAAAATCATTAATTGCATTCTGAAACAGAAGGGAGACAGTGAAGAGAAGTCAACTCTTAGTGTATTTTTGCTTTGTACCAGCAGAAGAGCATCAGCAATTTGGACTAACTAGAAATGATGAATGGAGGATTTGTCCAGGCCAAAACACAAGGAGTTGCAGTAGTTCAACCTGCAGAAGACAGATTAGCTGGAAGATATGTCTTTACCTTGGCCAACTGTCTGAGATTAAATAACCTAGATTGGACCATTTTTAACATTATCTCTGAAAAAAAGGCTGAAGGCTCACAAAATTGTTTTGCTTATGTCAAACAATACATTGAATCAAGTTGAGAAACTTCAAAATGTCAAACTGTAAACATTTTGCATGACGAATGACAGTTGTTTTTATCAGACCTGTACATTGACAATGCAACCAAAATTAATTTTTATTTTTTTGCAAAACAATGATAGAGCCCTACTGGTGCTGACACAAAGTTGGATGTCATTTTTGTGTGGACTTATTTCACCTGCAAACAAAATTTCTGATAATGCAAATTAATTTTCGGGAGCAGATTCAATACTGTCATTATCAAACTGTGAGGCCGTTACATGGTCTTCAGTTTTCAACTTTTATTAGGTGTTATTTCTTTTTGTTTTATTATCTTTTTTTTATTTACATCCTACCAATCTCTGGGGAAAAGTACTTTTTAAAATATGAACCTTTATGTGTGATGCCTATTCTATTACAGTGTCTGTGACATAAACATGTATTACTGATTAGGCCAAATTTTAAATGCTGATGGAGAAAATGCCAATATTTAAATCAAACTCAACCTTTCTTGCTTTAGATGAGTTAACATTAACAAAATTACTTCTAGTCAAATCCCATAATGACAATATACATTTGAAAATAGATTGACATTTTTAATCTTCTTCAAATTTACAGGTTGATATACTTTTCCTTGGGATATGGTTACATTGCATTTTAAACAGTTTGACTTTATTCAGTATATGATTGATTATGACAGCAGCACTGATAGCTGCATAAGCTAATCAAGGCATTGTGAACAGCTGTCAATGCAATCTTCTAACAGACTATTTGCAGATGACCTGTTGAACATGACTTCTGGCTGTGTTTGAGCATCTTTTGGATCGTTCTAAACTAATTACAACAAGAAAAAAAGAAGACAAAAAATATTTTAAAAAATAGCCAGAATCAAGTTAGGTTTTATAAACTGAATAGCCATATTGTCTTTGGTCCATCTCAACAGCTACTAAAAATTAGAGCCATAAATGCAACCTGATTGTTTAAAATGACATAACTTTTTTTATTGTCAATATATTGAAAGGAAACAGCTGAAACTACTATTTTTGCAATTAGATTTACATTTTCAGACATTAATGAGTTTCTTTAACATTGAGGCCAAAGCTATTAAGAGCCATAGCCGAGAGTCTAAATAGCCACATGTGGGAGACCTCTGGGCCCTATGTGAAGTATTCAAAGGAAGCCTTTGTTGCACAGATAATTCCAATAAAGTGTTTTCTTTTTTTTTTAGAGACAGTTGTTTGTTCCTTTTAGTGCTTTGATTTGCTTTATGGCATTCAGCTTGCTGTGTGCATAAAAGCCCTGTTGTTGGTTTTGTGCTTAATGTAAAAAAAAAATATTCCTTTAACTCTTTGCTGTTCTTGGTCTGAATCTCCCTTTGTCAGGGTCTGTTACACATTACCTTTCAGGACGATGTTATCGTCCTAACCATCCCCCATGTAGAGCCTGTCACTGAGTGACACGGCCCGCAGTGCAACCAATCTGCTGGACGAGCTACTCTTTATAACCGCAGGCCTTCTACAGTGGAGTAATTCTAAAGTGTATACCCAGTCCAAAGTCCATAAGAAAAGAACAGTTAGTTTTATAGCCTTCCTGGACTCATTACCAACCCAATTGTTTAAAAGGTCTTTGTGTATACTTGTCCTGACATTTAGTTTGCAAATTTATCTCAATGTAAAATAATCAGAACGAACCCCCCTCACCCCTAGCACCCTCCCCCGACAAAAAAACAAGAAGAAAAAAAAACAACTCTTTGATTCTAAATCAATTTAATACAAATAAGGCTGTTTTGACGATGATTGTGTCAAAAATATCTTTATTGTGGTGGATCATGTTTGGGTAGGAGGGATCATTTTGCCCACAGGGCCAGCCCTGTGGGCAGCAGATGAGCCAGAGAAATGTGTGTGTTACTGTGTGCGCGTGTGCATGTGTGCTGCTGAGCTGTAAGCAGAAGAGCCCCGCCAGGCAGCCTGCTGAAACTGGGCACAGTCTCCCGTCCAACAGCTCGTCTCTCTTGTTTCCTTCAGATGATGCCTTGGATTTAGCCAACCCACACAAGTGCTATGAATAAGACACTGGACAAAATACACACTTCTGGAGGACTCGGACAGAAAGCAGAGATTTTTCAGAGTGGCAAGGGTAATGAGAGTGTCTTCCCCAGCCCAGCAATCATCCCACTGGAAGATCCTTCACTCACTCCAAATGCTCAGAGGACTGGGACCAAGTTTTGCAAGGGGAACAGGTATAGCTCACTTTTGCTTATGTAAACTGTGAATGGCACAGGTCTGCTTACAACAAGCTGCATTCTGAAAAATTCATCTACCTAAAAGAAGAACTTTGTGCAACACATTTTACAATGCTTCCAGCCCTGAATTTAAATAGCACAGAGTTTGCATATGTACGAGCCAGTAAAAGAGCTGCAGTGTTGCTTAGCAATACACTAAAGACTAGTTGATTGAGTTGTTAAGTTGAGGTTAACCATTCATTCAAGTCACTAACAAACTTGTTTCCAAATATAATATTGAATTCTTTTGAGAGATAAAAACAAAAAATCAGCCTTTATTTACAATACTTTCTTCACATGAATTGCATACCTCTTCCAAAAGTTAAAGAACTGTAAATGTAATACAGTGGAGGAATCAGGGGCTGTTTCTGTCTGCTCTTATCTAAAGCTTGTCGGTGAATGTGGTAAGTGAGTCAACATTAAGGGCAGGAGGGGTTAATGCAAAGGGAAGCCTGTTTATCAACTACTCCATACCTATTGTCTGCAAGAGCAGCAGCAGAATCAGTACAAGGGCCCTGCGTGCGCTGACATGTAGGCATAAAGTTAAGTAACAATCCCCCCACTTCTTCAAGGGTTTAGATGCTGTTTTTAAGATAATTTCCCTCTCAATTGTGGTTGGGTTTGTAGCCTGTAATAATTGTATTCATTCTGTGTTTGACATCAAGAAATACTCCTGTTATGTTGCGGGTCAAACTGACCCGTTTTAAAGTTTACTTTTCTTTTATTAAATAGTTGGAAGCATTTTTTTTTGGCATAAAGCTTTTTTATTTGTATTAATAGGTGCACTAAATTTGAATTTTATTCATTTTACACATTTGCAACCCCTACATTTTACGTGGATACTGTTCGGGTCAGTTTGACCTGGCAGTCAAGTTGAAGGGTAAAAAAGATTTTTAAAATCTCCAGTTCTATATGTTTCCAGCTATGAACCATATTTCACCCTTCTCTCCCTCCCACCCCCACCCCACACACACACCACCACACCACACACATACACACACACATGCCCACTTTCTATTCTCTTTACTACACTAGGAAACTGTGAAAGCAGCTGTTCATACAGTTTTTCACAGGCACATTTTTTGTTCCTGTGGGCAAACTCCAGCAACACTGAGTGGACACTCAGCAGAAGTGGGGGAAAACATAAATAATGTGTGCCTGACAATGTTTATGTTGTCATGTGTGCATGACAACATAAATTTGGGTCAATTTTATGTTGTCAATTTGACCCAGAAGAGTATACGTGCCTCAAGTTCACTTATAAAGATCACCCCTTGAAAAAAAAAATCAAAATGTAATATAAAACAAAATTACAAAAGAAAATTTTAAAGGAAATTATTGTTTTGTTTTGTGTGAGGTTTTTTTCAGTGGACATTAAAAATATAAATTCCCTTTTTTGGTCCAAATGAGTAAATGAGTAAGTTGTTGTCATTGGTCCTTTAATTGTGAGGAGTAAAAAACATCATTGCACAAATATTGATTGAAATAGTTAGCATTGGAGTTAATAATCAAATACAAAAATGTTTTGGAGGACTTTTTTGGTTTCTGACACTATTGCATGATTACACTCTCCACAGGTCAAATTGATCCAGGAACATTATTGCTGTACCTCAGACACGGACATAACAGGAGGTTCAAAAAGCCAAAATTAATAAATAAATAAATAATAAACATGCTGGAAAGAACAGCTGAAAGTTGCCAGCGAGTGATGATGTTAAGTCTAGAACAGAATGTCAAACTTCAATGCCATGCCATTTTTGCCATTTTGGAAAAAAAGTGTATTTGAAACTACCCAAGGACAAGGCTCTCCAGAGACTGATTAGGTGAGACTTATGAAAGTTGATAGAGTGATCCAAACGTAAAATATTTACAGGCATGCATTAACTTTTTTTTTTTTTACATTTCTTCTATAGTGAGATATTTTGTACTCAAACATTTTATCAACTTAAAGCCCAGTGAGATAGCTTCATACAAACCAAACTGAACAGCAAGTGAAGAAACTGATTTGTTTTCAGGTCGTGTTTTAAACAAATAACACTGTTTTCAGTGGGAAATTAGAGTTAATTTTTTAACTTTGAATCTGAGCCTCTTTTCACACACACCTGCTTTGAGTAAATGTGGGTGCTCTCTCTATCCTTTGACGCATCAATACCCACCTACTTGTTTTCATCAAGAAAACGGCTCATGTCTGTTGAACAACAGTAATCATGGTAGCTACACTGATCTTTAGTGTAAAACGTTTTTGTGTAAAAATCACTAAATGCATGTTTTAAATGCATATATGTACTTTGAGAAACTATGAAAAGTTCAGTGAGGATTTATACTGTGTATATGTTTTATTTTTAAACATTTATAGGTGTTATGAGTAACATTTTTTTGCCTTTTAGAACTGACCTGTCTGAATTTGTTTCAGTTAAAATTACTTTCACTTTCATGACTTGTGTCTGTGTTGATTCTTTAGGAATATCAGAGAGGGCGAGGACTCTTCATCTTCCTCTGTTCCAAACCCCTTTCCTGAACTTCTACCTCCAACTGTTTCTGGCTCCATCTCTGAATGTTTATTGCCTTGGACAAAACCGAATGCAACTCAGGTGAGTCTTCCATATACTGTAGAAAAGCATTTAACAACAACAGCATTTGGTAAAAACAGCGCAGCTGTTGTTTTCTAACTATCCGCAATTGGAGAACATTCAAGAAAGTTGCATTATGCATGACTAGACTTTGTTTCACTATTGATTTTTGTTTGAATTTATGACACGTGGATGGTTGAACAGGTTTTACAAGTATGGAAATTAAGGGTGCTGAAGAGGTAAATGTTGTGTCAGAATGGGCAGAAAATCTGCATAGACTGCTTACTTTTGGAAATGGATTTTGTTTTTTTCTACATTCACCATACAATATGAAAATGAGTGATATTTTGTTGACTGTAGATGTTATATTTTAAACTGAAAAACTTTATGGTTCACCCTGTGAAAATCTGGCCAAGAGCCCACAGTGCTGTTGTTTGTTTTAGCACAAAGTGTGGGATTCTCTTACTCTTGAGACTGGTTTGTATGCTGATGTTTGACAAGCTTTTGTTGCAGTGTAAGTCTATATATGTATTTATGTATGATGAAGTTGAAAGAGTAGGGCATTCATTCAGTATTAAGAAGAAAGTCTTGTTTTGTAATGAGACCTTGGAGGCATTCTTTTACACAAAATGCCTTGTGCAACTCTTAGATATTTGATGGTAGGCAGCTGATTTGTAACAACTTTAAAAAAGAGTATCAATGTGTTTTTTCTTTACTAGTGGAGTATTGTGCAGTGAGTATATACATATATATATATATATATACATTGACAACATTATGTCTTTTCCTTACTATTTCAAGGACAAAGTGCCTTGTATCTTCAGTCTGATTATAGAAGAGTCTTCATTAAAAGCCAGCCTCAAAGATTACAAAAGTACAGTTATGTTAGTTCTTAAGTTATTCACACATTGGAGGTATTACATCTCATATTCACACGCTCATGACCTCATTGTTTTGGCAGTGAATTACTCTGCAACAACTTGGACAGATATTGTACAGGAAATCCAAAACTTGAAACAAATATTTGGAAGACATTCAGGATTTTGGAAAGCTAACAATTATGAGTCTGTTTCAGAAGTGCATGGGTTTCAGACTCAAGTTTTCTTTCCTATACATTTTCCAGTGTGGCTGAATTAGTTTGGTTTGCAAACCACAAGATATCTCCTGGATGTGCGTCCCTTACTATAAGCTTGAAAAAATATTTTTTGTGGTGTGCATGTGCTGTGTGGAATTGTGTGTGGATTTGTAGCAGCTGGGGGCAAATAAAAGCAATGACTCTTTGGAAAGCCTAACATTTCAAAGTTCCGCAATTAACAGCAGCTATTAGTGATATTAGCACCATGAGTTTGGTGCTCATGTTAAGCATATATCTATATCTATGTCTATAGATAGATATATAGATAGATAGACAGACAGACAGACAGACAGACAGACAGACAGACAGACATACAGACAGACAGACAGACAGACAGACAGACAGACAGACAGACAGACAGACAGACAGACAGACAGACAGACAGATAGATAGATAGATAGATAGATAGATGATAGATAGATAGATAGATAGATAGATAGATAGATAGATAGATAGATAGATAGATAGATAGATAGATAGATAGATTTTTTTGACATTTTTTTTTTAACAATGACCTGTTTCTTCATAAGGAAGTCCTCAAGTCGTTCCTTATGTATTTTGCTGATGAGGCCTGCCAATCATGGGCTTGGCAGCCTCTCACTTATTCTTCTCAGCAGCATTCTTTGGAGAGACAAAGGGGCTGTGTTTGTGTGAACAGCTGTTTTTATGTCACAAGTCTTGTGGTGCAGGGTTGTGACCTCCTTTCAGGAGCTCTTAAGAAACCCATGACATCATTGTTCCAAATGTGCTGCGCTTGGCCCCTCACCCACCATCTGATCCTTTCTGCAGTGGAAAATTGCCAACTGGTCCTCCCAGAGCGTTTTTGTGGGTTGTAGTTTCAGTTATAATTATCTCAACCCAAATAAACATCAACCAAATACAAGGTTTAGAATTTATCAATGTATAACAGAAGGGATTAATAGAGAAAAGCGATTAGTTGAAATCAACATCAGATAAAATACTGTAGTATAAAATACAATAAAACTTTCTTAACAAAAGCAATGTTTTAACCCAGATTTAGAACTGTAATGGTGAGAGCAGTGAGCACATGGAGAGAACATTTGGTCCAATATTTGGGCCTTGTCTGACTTCAGAGCTCTTATTAAAAGTTAGACGAGGAAAACATACAATTGAGCATAAATTGCAAAATATTACAATAACATTATTAATTATGATTGACAAAAATAATCCATGTTTTTTCTTTTAAACTGTGTGAATATATTTTTATAAAAGCTACCTACTTCAGCTTTAATGTAAGTCTGAATCTTGACTCACATTCAGCGAGTGGCTTTCCTACTCTCTTTTCACTAACACAATCAGTTCTCATCTGAACCAATGATGGTAAGTTGATGAAACTCTCATATTATATAATGGTAAGTAATGATATGTCTTGTTTGTGTTGAGCGTTTTGATACTAACAATGTTATGAGAGAAGTGCATCATGACTGATCATATACCCTTAAAAAGTGAGAATATGTGTTACGCAGTTATGACAATATTTTGTAATACTTGTTTCTTGTTAGCAAAATGACAGCATGCAGCGGAGGTGGTCAGGAACGTAAATGTTGACAGTTTTAATGATGACAATAAATAATCTGAAATTTGGCTGTTGGTCCTCAAGCTTTGATGAAAAAATTATTATATTTTTTCATTTTCACATTATTATTATTTTTTATTTATTTCCTTTGAATGCAGTGTTTTATAGCAGTATCACAAAAAAAGAAAAACACTATTCATTTATTTTTACAACTGGTAAAAACTTGTCAAATGGGAAATTGTGATGATACTATAACTATCCCATGTCTCTATTACCCATAATAATACTAAGCAAAATACAGTGGAAAACCTTAATCAATGCCTTTTAGTCCCAACAAGGTACGTTTTCTTTTACACAGTAATTCATCTTGTTTCAATTTGGCTGTCTGGGTACAGCCTGTTGTTTTCTCTTTTTTTGTTTATGTTTTCTGGTTATTTGGCTGAGCTTTTCCTCCTGAAAACTGTGTTTAGAAGCGTTGACTCACATGCTTGATAAGAGTCTGGTGAGAAGCAGACTTTTAAGTCTTCACTGGGGTGAGAAACTGTTCTCGCTCCAAAGCACATTTTAAGTTTGGGTCTATCTCTCAACCAAAGGAGGAAAGTGAGAGGAGTCTGCTATTACTCAAAAAATTTAAATCTGACCTTTAGGGTACAAAGCCACACATCATATGTTATAGTGTGTGGTTATCTGAGTTAAAAAAGGTGAAACTAAAACCCCCATAAACTCTCAAAATGCACAACTGATATAAATAATTTAAAGGTAGCTTCCTTAGATTTTTTGTTAATTGTTGTTCCTCTTATTTTCTACCAAGTTCAAAAGTCCAGCTCTGGTCTAGTTTTTTGTCTGGTCTGAATGCCAGCGCTGGTCAGACACTGGATCAACTTTGGTAGAACAACACCAAAAATATTCTCTTTAGTTATTAATAATCAGATACAATGTCCGCTACAACAAATGTTTGGTGAAAACACAAACTTTGTAATTTCTCCCTCCAACTTTAAAATATCTTCCAAAAACATCTGCAGTCACATTGGTCACAGAAAGCAATTTGCTTAACAACCTGTGCAATAAATTGAATCTTATTGTTTAGCGTCAAATAAGATGAATGCATGCATGGATATAATACGTCCTTTGGATGTTCTATACTCTATTATTTTAACAAATCAATCATGAGCAACAAAATTGGTTACTTTTTTTTTAAACGAGAACAAACTCAACAAAAACGTCGACATGAAAATGAATTGCAGTGTCCAGATGCGAGAGCCTGATTCAGCTATTGCCTTCCAGTAACTTGTATCCATACAGAGCCTCTGCTGTGATATGAGGCAAAGGTGCATCTACAAAATACGGGTTTGAAGGGGCTGAAACACTTATTTTATCTTAAATGTTTAATTGTTTTTTATTTTATAGGCAATTCACTTTGATATCAAAGAGATTTTTTGTGAATTGTTTTGTCAAAAGGCTAGCATTTGTTGATTGATTTGTAAAATGAATAACGAGGGTAAAACATCCAAGTCAATACCTTTTATAGACAATGTGTGTGTAGGCTGTTATTCTACTGTCAGCAGTCCATGTTTTGGGGCCTGTATGATCTCAGCGGCTGAGATACCAATGTCACATCATTGCGTTCGCTTGGTTCTAGCAGTATCTGTCCACAGGAAAGAGGACATTTACTTCCAGGCTGTCTGCACAGTATCTGCTCTGTGTTGAGAAAACACAATCAAACTGTAACTCTGCACCTTGACTAGTTCATAATAACATCTAGATTTTCATGTTATTTAATAGCTCGTCTACTACTGTGTTTCAGATTATTAGGTGACTGGCATGCTTGACTTCACAGCAGACTCTAGAACATGTTGGTTCACAGAGAAATTTACAGTCAGGCTCGACCCAAAGTGTTTGTGAACTTCACACCTGCTGACAAAACACATTGAGTTATACTGTTAGTTAAACTTAGGATGTTAGTGGTATATCAGTGGCTGGTAGGCTTAACTGGTTAAAATTCTGGTTAGGTTTTTAACTCAGTGAAAGCAAAAAAATATAAATTAAATAAAACAATTAAATTGCTCTGCTGCAAATCTCAAATAATTTGTTTAATGTATCAGTTGGTCCTGTATTATTCCAAATACATATCTGATATTAGCAGCGTCAACTTAAATTTCAACAATAAATGCAACTGTAAAAATGCATTGATGTCTGAAAACGCAAAGTAGTTTTGATTCTGTCCCAAATAACTTCAGGTCACAACAGAAATTGTCTTTGAAAAGAGGTAAAAATAAAGGCAAAGTTGAAGTCCAATTTTATCAAGAAAGATGCAGGATGCCCCCCACATCACGATAAAACTATCAATGT